CGTGCACTGTATTCAAATAATCAAGACTGATGACTGGTGTGAGGAGGCAAAAAGGATGGTGTACACTTTGATTGTAGTAGTATATAGTAGTAGTAGTAGTAGTAGTAGTAGTAGTGGTATATAGTAGTAGTAGTAGTCGTGGTAGTAGTAGTGGTAGTAGTAGAAGTAGTAGTAGTAGTAGTAGTATAATATCGTAGTAGTAGTAGTAGTAGTAGCAGTAGCAGTAGTAGTAGTAGTAGTATAATATCGTAGTAGTAGTAGTAGTAGTAGTAGTAGTAGTAGTATAATATCGTAGTAGTAGTAGTAGTAGTAGTAGTAGTATATAGTAGTAGTAGTGGTGGTATATAGTATTAGTAGTAGTAGTAGTAGTCGTGGTATATAGTAGTAGTATATAGTAGTAGTAGTAATAGGAGTAGTAGTAGTAGTAGTAGTAGTAGTAGTAGTATATAGTAGTAGGAGTAGTAGTAGTAGTAGTAGATAGTCGTAGTAGTAGTAGTAGTAGCAGTAGTAGTAGTAGTGGTATATAGTAGTAGTAGTCGTGGTAGTAGTAGTAATAGTAGTAGTAGTAGTGTATAGTAGTAGTAGTGGTGGTATATAGCATTAGTAGTAGTAGCAGGAGTATATAGTAGTAGTATATAGTGTTAATAGTAGTAGTAGTAGTAGTAGTAGTAGTGGTAGTAGTAGTAGTACTAGTAGTAGTAGTAGTGGTAGTGGTAGTAGTAGTAGTAGTATATAGTAGTAGTAGTAGTAAATAGTAGTATAGAGCATATAGTAGTAGGATTAGTAGTAGTAGTATATACATTCAGGAAGCAACAAAGGGAGCAAGAGGTCAAAGGGACCAAGGGATCAGGGGTTTAGGGTTTCTTTAGGCTTAGCTCACGGCTTCGCTTTTGGGTTTTCTTCTTTAGGGTTCTATTTTGGGTCTGGTTGAGGGCTTCGTTTCTTTAGGGTTTCTTTGTGCTTGGCTTGAGGCTTCTTTGGGGGTTCTTTGGGCTTGGCTTAGAGCTTCGTTTCTTTGGGGGGTTCTTTGGGCTTGGCTTAGAGCTTCGTTTCTTTAGGGTTTCTTTAGGCTTGGCTTAGGGCATCGTTTCTTTAGGGTTTCTTTGGACTTTAAGCTTCGCTTGGGCCTTCGCTTCTTTGACGTTTCTTTGGGCTTGACTTGGAGCTTTCTTGGAGGATTAAAGAAGCGGGAGGGGGTTCGGGGGAGGGCGCAGCGCCTCCCCCCATAACGCAAACAAGTATGGACAGCATGTTTCAAAAGCGGATAAAGCGATGTAGCAGGAGAACCGAAGGACCAGAGGACCCAGGGGACCAGAGGACCGCAGGACTAGAGGACCAGGGGACCAAAGGACCAATTGACCAGAGGACGAACAAACCAGGGCACCAGACGACCAGAAGACCAAAGGACCAGGGAACCAAGGGGCCAGAGGACCAAAGGAGCAGAGGACAAGAGGACCAAAGGACCAGCGGACCAAGGGACCAAAAGACCAGAGGACCAAGGGACCACAGGACCAAAGGACCAGCGGACCAAGGGACCAAAGGACCAGAGAGAGGATGAAAGGACTAGAGGACCGGTTACCGTTACCAAACAATTTTTGTTTTGATGCTTATTAATTTGTTTCTTGACGCCTATCAATATTTTTCTTGATGTTTATTACTTTTTTTTGATACCTCTCCCCTAGTTTACACTGTGCTGTGGCTGCACTTCCTCTTCCCTAGCTTTGGACACAATCCTCGTACACAAACATTCTTGTGGCGCAAACCTTTGCCTCCCGCCATTCTTCCCAGAATAATCAAAAACGCTTCAGATCTTTCCGGGAGCAGGAATTGCAAAACGCATCCAACCAACAATCAATTTTTTGTTGCGTTCACTCGATGCATTGCAAAGCTGGGTAAATATATGGACTCAGTGTCAACTGTTTATAAGTCATATTGTGCCTCTGCAGCTGAGCCATGCACGCTTGTTGTTAGACCAGGGCGGCAAGCCACAATTGGCACGATCGTTGTCCGGATAATGATGAAACCTCAAAGCATCCCACATCGTTCCGTGCCAACTATCCCTTGTGAGAAACTTTACATTATCATGGTGGATGTAGGACGTGCTTGTGATTGAAGATGGTCAGGCATGGGCCGCAAGTGTACGCTAAAAAAGAACATATATACAAAAATTGTTGTGTTGTTGCATACACTAACTTACGCTCGTTCACGGAATCCCAGAATGACAACAACGCAGTAAGCTTCTTGCATTGATCTGTCAAATCTGTCCCTGCCACTTCGACCTTCCACACTATGCAAATGCAAACCTGAATGTACCGGGTGCGTGTAAGGGTTTGCAATAGCCGAGAAAAGCACCGTTCAAGAACATCCTGTTGCCATACCTGAAGCTCCACATGACATCCCAACGTGCAATGAACTACAGCGTAATTAGACGTCACTCCAAAATAGACTGCCAGTCAAACATCACCAGACTGCTAGTGAAGGGATCATGCTGGCATGCACTAGTCACTAGCAGTACCACTGAGGCCAACTCTCAGTTCCAGCCCAGCCCATGCCTCAACTCAACCAACAAACCGAAGCCTTGAAGTTATATTTTGCATATTCAATTGACTGGCACTTTCAACATCTCTCAATACAAATTCTATACATATGTTTCACCTACATATTCAATCATATTCATACCATTCATTGAAATTGATTTGAAAGGATGCAAGTCGGGACAATCTCTGCTGACAAGAACAAACTCTTCCTGGTTCGTTGATTCTTAATGGCACCGAACACAGCTACAAATTGGCACCCACGCATTTTGCGGTTGATTCTTTCTCAGTGTCAGCTTCCTTTCCGCACACCTGACAGCATCTCTCCAAATCACATGTACCTCATTGTGCCTACTGTCAATCTTCCAGAGTCGAGCTAACGCGTTTGTTGATTGATTGTCGCTTGATTTTCACAGCTGGTATGCGTGAACAGCAAGCATGCATTTGACACATGTCTGCCATGTCTGCTTCCACATCTCCAACATTCAGCAGAATGGAATCGTATTTCTACTTGTGGGGAAGTGACATCAACATGTACAAAAATTACACCACCGTAGACCCCAAACAGCTTGCCTTTTTCAAACTCGGATCACTGCAACTAGAGTTTGCGACGTCCAGGGCTGGGAGAGAAAGGATCCACGATTTTTCTTTTTGCTTTGAACCAATTGTGGAACTGCAGCGTTGAAGATATATGACTAGAAGCATGCAGCGTGATTGATTGAGGACAAAAGAACGACAAACGCTTAACGATCTTGCCAGCTAGCGCCCTGATGCCGCCGACCCCCTTCTTTGAAGGGTGGCATGAGGCACAAACAAACAGGCGGTTAATCCGCGATTAGTTCTCCTAATCAGCAAAAACTATGGACAATCAGGTATTAGTATCCAATGTCCAATCCACGACCAAAAAGATTACTGTAATTGCAATCAATTACTAACTTTGAATTGAAGCATGGTTAGTGCTGAACTCTTGGCGCGGTTAGAGCCACGTTGCCGAGAGCTTGTCCACTAGCCGAAAGCAAGTGTGCCAGAAACGAAGCCTACGCGCATCCAATTTACATTTGTTTTCAGCTCTGGGCCGCTGTGTCCGCCTTTGCCTTGCAATCCTTGAATTACATGTGTCTCCCAGCTCTGACTGCTGTATCCGCCTCTGCCTTGCAATCCTTACTTTATTTGTCTCCCAGCTCTGAGCTGCATGTCGCTTGCAATCCTTTACATTTGTCCCCTGTGTCTACATGTGTCTCCCAGCTCTGGACTGCTGTGTCCGCCTTTGCCTTGTTTACCAACCACCCCCGTAAAGTCGAGCGCGTAATATTACTTTCATTTACTTTTTTATCGCTTTTTCCGTGAGGGGTCATGAGCAAGCATGGTAATGCGCACCTAGGATTTTTGAACAACCCCATATTAACCAAGCCCAGCTCGAGCTCCCAATGCAAAACTAATTTAAAGCCTGAGTTCCACCTTGACATCCCCCCTAATAACATTTTCCTGGTCAGACCCCCCCTATTATTCAAAACCAGCTGACCCAGAAAAACATAGAGTCTACTATTACTATTGTATACAGCTACAATTCTTTATTGCTTGCTTATATATATATATATATATTCATTTTATTTATTTATCAAAGGAAGTTTAGTGTGCAAAACTTCCGTGTTACGGACATTCAACAGCTGTTCAACCACCACTCATCATACACCACTCATCATCCACCACTCATCACACACCAGTCATCATACACCACTCATCACACACCACTCATCATACACTACTCTTCACACACCACTCATCATACACTACTCATCATACACCACTCATCACACACCACTCATCTTACACCACGCATCACACACCACGGGTCACACACCACTTATCATACACTACTCATCATACACCACTCATCATACACCACTCATCATACACCGCTCATACACCAGCTCTGGTTTCAACAGCTCAAGCTCCAGGCAACTCCAGCTCCAGGTGCGCAATACAAAATGCGTTGTGGAGAGATAGCGAACGCACGAAATGCTGTATTTTTCAATGGAACCGGTGGCTCTGAAGCTGGCAAGTCAAGGTCTGCGGAACGACGGGCGCGAGACCGTCTCGGATCATTCTCGGATCATGCTCGGAATCGTCCGTCCATTGGGATTAGAGTTTTCACTTGTTTCTTGAAGTGAAGATTTCGTGGCAGGTGCAGTGCTTTGTGAACCTCCATGTGCAGATTTCTTGGCAGGTGCAGCACTTTGTGTACCTCCATGTGCAGATTTCCTGGCAGGCACAGCACTTTGTGAACCTCCATGTGCAGATTTCGTGGCAGGCGCAGCGCTTTGTGCACCTCCATGTGCAGATTTCGTGGCAAGCACAGCACTTTGTGCACCTCCATGTGCAGATTTCGTGGCAGGTGCAGCACTTTGTGAACCTCCACGTGCAGATTTCGTGGCAGGCACAGCGCTTTGTGCACCTCCATGTGCAGATTTCGTGGCAGGTGCAGCACTTTGTGAACCTCCATGTGCAGATTTCCTGGCAGGTACAGCACTTTGGGAACCTCCATGCGCAGATTTCGTGGCAGGTGCAGCACTTTGTGAACCTCCATGCGCAGATTTCGTGGCAGGCACAGCACTTTGTGCACCTCCATGTGTAGATTTCTTCGCAGGCACAGCGCTTTGTGAACCTCCATGTGCAGATTTCGTGGCAGGCGCAGCATCTGGGGAGCTGGAAGCTGAGAACTGGCGACTTTGTAGTACAACTTTAGTACGCGGAGTATCTGTGGAGCTGGAAGCTGAGAACTGGCGACTTTCTAGGACAACTTTAGTACGCGGTGCAATCTGTGCAGCTAGAAGCTGAGAACTGGCGACTTTGTAGTACAACTTTAGTACGCGGAGTATCTGTGGAGCTGGAAGCTGAGAACTGGCAACTTTCTAGTACAACTTTAGTACGCGGAGCAATCTGTAGAGCTGGAAGCTGAGAACTGGCGACTTTCTAGTACAACTCTAGTACGCGGAGAACCTGGCAAGCTGGAAGCTGAGAACTGGCGACTTTCTAGTACAACTTTAGTACGCGGAGCAATCTGTAGAGCTGGAAGCTGAGAACTGGCGACATTGTAGTACAACTTTAGTACGCGGAGAACCTGGCAAGCTGGACGATGAGAACTGGCGACTTTGTAGTACAACTTCAGTACGCGGAGCAATCTGTGCAGCTAGAAGCTGAGAACTGGCGACTTCGTAGTACAACTTTAGTACACGGAGTATCTGGCGAGCTGGACGAGGAGAACTGGCGACTTTGTAGTACAACTTTACTACGCGGAGTATCTGTGGAGCTGGATGGTGAGAACTGGCGACTTTCTAGTACAACTTTGGTACGCGGAGCAATCTGTAGAGCTGGAAGCTGAGAACTGGCGACTTTGTAGTACAACTTTAGCACGCGGAGTATCTGGCAAGCTGGGCGATGAGAACTGGCGACTTTGTAGTACAACTTCAGCACGCTGAGCAATCTGTGCAGCTAGAAGCTGAGGACTGGCGACTTCGTAGTACAACTAGAGTTGTACTGGCGAACAGTGTAGTACGCGGAGGAGTCATCTCTCGCTGCTCATTCATCTCTCGCTGCTGAGTCAGCTCTCGCTATAGCCATCTCTCGCGACTGAGTCATCTCTCGCTGCTGAGTCATCTCTCGCGGCGTGCGCGTTCAGTTCATACTGATAGTATTTGGTTGCAGTTATGCAGGACAGGACATTCAACTGCTGGTCAAGACACCACTCATCGTACACCAGCCAGCATACACCACTCATCATACACCACTCGTCATACACCACTCATCATACACCACTCAACATACACCACTCATCATTCATCACTTGTCATACACCCCTCATCATACAAGACTCATCATACATAGTCTCAGAGTTCAAGACAGATTTTACATTCAAATTCGGATTCCATTCAGTCCGATGTGGACCGCATCCTTGGCAAGTCGTGGTGGCCGGATGTGTGTCATCTCTCGCAGGGGGCACACACACCTTACACACGTGGAAGTCCGGAGCGCGTGCGTTTGACTGGAGGACGCGCATGTTGGAGAGAACGTGGACACTCCTATAGGTCAATTTCTTCTTATAGGAAACTTCCGCCGCCGGCTTGCCCGGGAACTACTTGTATCTATTTTCTTTTTGGCTAGTGACTAGTGTCCAATATCTTCTGGTTCATGGTGAAGCTGATCTTCTGATCCACCCTTGTCTCATGCCATCTCTTTGAGAGATAGCATTCTGATCCACCCTTTTCCCATGCTGATCCTCCTATCCATCAACCATTCTCATCCTTCTTCTTGATCTTCTCATCTTCCTTGCTCTTCCCATCCTTCCCATCTGTGCAGCCAATGTGTACTCATATGACTCATATGGGATCTTCCTCCCCACCCTCTTCCCCTCCCTCCTCATCCAATAGGCTGTACATTTCCACATTGCAGTCCATACACCCACTGGAATACCTGCACTTGCTGCACCCACTCGAGTACCAAATGCCAATTGGCATGGCTCTCTGATCTATCATATCAGATCTCTTATCAAGCTTGTGCCAATATGCTCAGAGCTCTCACGGTTCTCATGGTTCAAGCTCTCATGATTCACACAGAATCCCATCAACCATCATCCAGTGCAGGTCATCACCTTTATTAGGGGTATGTGGTCCTCCAATACCTCCAATCTCAAACCTTGTTGATCTTAAAGGGGGGGGCTCCCGTTGATCAATCCGACGTCGACATTACGTAACACGAAGAACACTTTACTTATCACTGCTTCGAAAACAACGCGGTAAAATCTCGAAATTATGTATATATGTTTCTGGGCCCGCACCCACATCACCAAGTACAAGGAGGTGACCAATTGCACAAGAAGCCTCAAAAACTGCGTATGCCACGGAAGAAAACTCGATGATGTTGCCAAGTACCTGAGCTTTGGAGTCTTTGTCTTTGTGTTGCTTTGTTCGGCCACCTGCTACAGCACCGGAGGGTTTCTGTTTGATGCCATTGTGGTGGAAGCCTCGGCAACAAGGTTTTTGTGCTCCTGTCCATGCTGGCCGGCCCCATTCTTGGCCATTGGTTGGTTCTTGTCTTGGGACCGGTTTGAAGACTTGGAGGGAGGGAAGTCATTTTGCAAGCAGTTGCTGGGCGCTGTAGCCCCCCATCCTTCACTATTGTGGCAGTTTGCAAAGCAACAAAGGTTGTCCGGTGCCAAATGCATGCAAAAGGAACGGACAGGATTAGCAAACATGGCCACGAGTACTGGGG